TGTTTATTAAAAACACTGACAAGATTGCCTCCGGATACACGTTTTATATGTACACAAATTGTTGTTTATGAGACACTATACAAAAGAAAAACATGCGGCTAGTGAAAATGCCTGCGGGCTAGTTAAGAGTTTGTTTCAGTAGCCCGTCTTGCTAGTGAACATAGAAATTAACGTCGAAGTTAAACCGTGCGCAAAATAATAACACTGCATAAAACGTCCTGTTTCAATCATCGCGAACTGCGTAGTAGCGATGTTTTGGTTAGTGTTTACTAATTTACAGCTGGATTTCTTTTTTCTCCGGATGATCGGAATTTCTCAACAAATGATCCGCGTCTGGGACGAGGAAAAATTAATGTTTGTTACGTGTCTGCACGAACTGTTCGCAGTTTCAATGATGTGTCTGTGTACCGAACGCCACAGCATGCGGGGAAAACGCCCAAACGTTTGTCCCCCAATACACAAAAGGAAAACAAAATAAGAGGTTAGGAGTTTATCGTATTGTCAATAAATCCCGGAACAAGAACCGCCAATTTTGTTGTCGACTTTGGTCCAGTCAAGTACGGTTATACAGCATTAGTAATTGATAACGTTGGCGGACATTCGCCAGATGTGCCATGCGCGGAAAGAAAACTTTGAATGCTGACAGGTTTGTTTACGATGCATTTTCATATGTACATAATGACTTGTGACGATAAATGGCCAAAAAACGGCGCATAATTATGCAAAACCAATTTTCAAATAATCAACAAGAATCGTTATTATGTCGTCCTTTGAATGGGCCTTGCACGAGTAGGCCATTCTTGTCGAGTTCCCTGAATTTATTTCATAAATTGTTAACTCATGAAGGGGATGGCACCAGACTATTTATGCAGCCTTATTTTACTGTCTTTTTTTTTTTAATCTGGCTTAAAACATTAGGGAATGTTTAATCACAAATTTTAAATTATTCATTGAAGCAGACTGGAATTAATTAGTAACTAACTTGCTTTCATTTCTCTTCGCCCATTGAGTACTGTCTCAGAATTTCTGTTCTGTATGTGATGCTTCGTCAGGGATCGGGCAAACATTTTGGAGGTCAAGAAAATAGTAAGGCGCTCAATTATGTATGTAGAACGGGTAATACATGTAATGCATGCACTGAACTCCGAAAGCTGATATTGTTTGTGCTGCCTGGCGTTAAAAATCACTTAGTTGTATCATCATTCTTACTCTCAATAGTTTTGATAATGGATTCGTCTGTGGTTAAAAGATAAACAAAATAGTCATCGTGGCGTGTTCGTGAAGATTCCACGAAATCCCACGTAACGTACATAACAGTGTTGACACATGATGTTGAATGATGGTACCAGACCTGTATTTGTGTGGTTCAAGTTTTATGACAAAGTGAACTTGAAAATAGCTTTGGAGTATGGTGCCTTGTATTTGTGGATTAAAGGGAATACATCATTTGCTTTTGCTGTAATTTTCAGAAATGGATGGAATTGGGGGGTTGGAAATATATAGCAAATATAGTTACACTGACTTTTTTGAGGTTTTGGGTTAAAAATGCTATAAAAAAGCAAGAAAAACAATCATTTTCCTGTAGTCTGGTTCCCTGACTCAATTTAAGAAGAACCAGAGCAGTTTACATACATTGGGGAATTGTAAGATCAGGGAACCAGTCTAGCTGGCTCGTACCCGTTCATAGGTTTGTAATCGATTGCAAACAAGTGCGATGGTCAATTGGGGCCAGTATTTGAAAAAAAGCCAGTTTTTTCCAACGCTGATCGGCCGATCAGCGTTGGAAATTGATACAAAATTACCACTTTTCTTGAAAATGACAGTATACCAGGTGCCATGATTTTACAGGATGCTTTACACTGCCATTCACTAACAGTCCAGCAAGGTATTTCAAAATGATTTGGTAGTTTTATTTTTTGATGTTTGCAAATGTTGTATATTCCCTTTAATATGTGCGGCACAATACGTACCATAACCACATGCGCAAAAGAAGACAAAGATGGTGTTACTCAAACATAATTGATGAAATACTTGTCATAATTGTCTTTTGATGTCCTTAAACTTCCGAAACTGTTTTATAAAGTAAAAACTCTTTTACTTTGGACGAACTGTCAGAAATATGTAAATATAGTGTCATTCGTTAGCATTTTCTGAAAGTCTTCAAACCACGGTTTAATTTTCAGTTACTTGTCTTTAACTAACATTATTTTTTTTGACATTTTTGTTTTTGTTTTTCACAGGCCAGACTTTGAATAAATTGGTGTAAGTTGCGTAAATTAAGACTGCGCCTTGATTCATTAATGGCACGATTTTTTTTCCCACAGTTAAAATAATGGAGATGATTATGAAATTCAGTGGATTGTTTTGTCCATTGCATGAATATTGTTCCCCGCGTCCTTCCACGGTTCAGTAAAACGGTACACGTGCAGTTAAGAAAGTAGCTTGACCTCCGCAATGCCGATGTGAACCAAAACACATAAACAGCTGTTTGTTACTGCCTGAGGAACAATTCTCTTGGGAGAAAAAAAGGACCTTCGTCAGACCTTCAGACAAGCCTTTGTTGTGACACAGCCGCAAATAAGAGTGATGCATAAATGTTACATAACAGCTATTATGCGCTTTAATGCTGTCCTCCCAGTGTGAAATGTGGCTCTATCGACCCTGAGTCCGGCACGTCGTCGGCTGATCAGGTGTTTCTCAAATCTCGCTTGTGCCTGCGCTTCGGCTTCTCTATTTGTGTGTCATATCTCGTTACCCCTGGTCGCTCACATGTCCACTGCTGTTTTTGTACCGTGAATATACATGTACATGTACCCGCTTATATAAGGGGTTCGACCTTCCGAGCGTACCTGCATAAAAACGGCAGAAAAGTACAGACGTGAGTTCATTGTACGGTTAAGGTTTACGTGCAGGTTGGAAGTTGCCATGCATGGATATCAAGGATAAATAGGCTACCCTCACGTTTAAAAAGAAGGGGGGGGGGGTACCTATCGCAGGGAGTTCAAAACACATCCAAATGAAGATGGGTAATGATTTGCCATTTTTTTCCGCTTTGTGTTCTATTTTTGTTGGGGTAAATCCAGTGACCAAAGATGATGATCGCTCCGTCTGAAACTTGAAAGTAGGAATGTAGGTGAAAATTTCACTAAAGAGATTCTTAAAATGATAAAGTAAAACTGCACATTTTCACTGCATCATAAACAATCGCAAGAACATTTGCAGTAAAAGAAAGTCAAAACTATACATTTTATAAAATATTTATTTCTTATTTTTAGTTATTACTGGCATGGGTAGCCCATTCAGTGGAATCCACTGGTCTCCCATGGGGCCCAGTACTATAGAGAACACACTGTGAATAAATGATAGTTTTAGAGGTGGGAGGAAAACCCCAGAAAAAAATATTATGAGGAAAACCCATGGAATCAAGTAGAGGGACTGAAAACCCAAATCCACATGTTGGCCCAGGCGGGAATCGAACCCGGGTCACACAGGTGGAAGGTGAGGAGAGGACTACGGTGCCCCTGAGAAGACAATTAATACCACCGGGAGTCAACCTGACTCTCGGTGGTAGTAATTGTCTTCTCAGGGGCACCGTAGTAATATGCTTCGCCATACTTGCCCTGATTATTGTTACATAATATCGCGTGATGCTCGCACGCGATATCGGGATCAGATCGTTTCATAGGACACACAATAATAATGACCACAGTCCTTCCCCTATCTCCCTTTAATAGCTGAGGTGTTGTTACGAAAGGGGCTGCCCTCAACTGTCTCAAGGCCGCATCGGTACTGTTCCGAACCATGAAAGTTGAGGGTCCGTGCCCATCAGTGTCCATGGGACGCTGAACTATTGGTGAACCAATCGACCTTTTTCTCTCGCGAGTGACCGTCCATTGACCTCACGACCGCCGGCGGGCTGCGTAGTCTGTCGGTTGAGAGGCTGGTCGGTCAGTCGGTATTATCGTTGAGCTAGGACCTAAGATTAGGATTTCCACGAGGCCAAAAAATGAGGTTCTGAGTAAGTCCACTGGTCAGGTTTGGGGTGTCAGTAATTAAAATTCGAAAATACCTTTTCTCTATAGTCATTTCTGGTTTTCAACAAGAGAACTTGTTTTTAATTTCTCAATTAAAGGGCCTCAGGAGGAGTCAAATTTTGAGGCAGAAGACTAGACTGGCCGCTATCCAACGTCTTGACAAGCTAGGAGTAGGAGGGAGCATTTAGTGAACCGCTGGCGAGCATGACGGTGGCGAGAATATTATTGTTCGGTGTTTAGATATTTCACTGGTGAAGATTTTGAATCACGGCTGGTGGAACAGTTGGGTCATAATAATTGTGACGTGTGCAGTTAGATTTCTAGCTCCACTGGTTGCTTGTAATTTTGCCAATATAGTACATCCGCATGAGACCGTTTGAAAGTACATCACCAATGAAACAACAAAGGGGGCACGAATTATACGCTAGAGCCGAGGTTTATTTCTCAGTGAGGAATTTTAGTTTCAGATTTTTCGAAACTTTAAGTCAGCTGATTTTTTTTTCTTCGGAAGCTTGGATCCTTCAAAAGATTGAGTGTAAACTCAGTGATGACACTTTTGCATGCTATGATGTTAGTAGCTTCCAGAGGTTATGCAAGCTTCTTCCTATTTCCATGGAAAGTGATTGTGAATTCATATTTCGTATACACAAAGTAAAGAAAACAATGTGGATTTTTTTTTCTATTTAGAGAATTGGAGTGCAATTCCCCTTTCAATTGCACATGAAACTGCATTCAGAATGCCAACTGCCTTTTTGCTTCTTAAAATTAATCGTAAGAGTCTTCCAATTCCATGATTTTTTTATCCTTCCGCTGTGAAAGGAGACGATTACACCTGTAAACCACGCGCTTACATCATGGTGGTCGAAGCCCCTAACCATGGGGCAAGGACGGCCGCGACTAGTGATGTAACGCACTGTTGCGTAACTGCCGAGTAGTATGTGACGATGGGGTGCTGTCTGCGCCTGCGCGGAGACATTACGTAAGGACGCTCTTGGGCCCAAACACGCACTGAAGAGGATGGAGTTTTCTCCCAGACCAGACGGGAGGATGGGATTGGGTGGTTTTTAAGTGATCAGTTTGTGAATTGATCTCAGTGGAACAAGTTGTCGGAAATACGCTTGCTCTAATAACCAGTTGCCTGCAGTTGTCACATTAAGCGTATCCTGTTTGAGACAAGACGTCGACCTTCTTTTTACTGATCGGCATTATCCTCCCTTCAACCACCACCGAGTGTGGTTTAATGTTTCGTTTCTGATCTTCATTTTGCCAGCACTTCATCGCTAGCTGTAGCCTATGCTAATAAGGTAACCGATGTGCTATTTTTCTCTTCTTGGCAAAATTTTCACTTAAACGATATTCACTGGATTGCGTCGTTTGACTTCACATCAATCGTTTGTACTTGTTTCCTTTAACAAAATGGTGTTTTTTGTTTCGCTGATTATCCATTTAAGTTTGGTTATTAGCAGTTGCAGGATTTTTAAAGGTATTTTCACACATTTTTGCCCATCATGTTGGTTGGAGCTCTGACTTTCTTTAGTTGTTAAGTTGTTTGCCTGTTTTTGTTGTTTAATTGAATCGATAGCAATTTCCAAACAAACGTCGAGTGGCGGTTGTTACTGCTGGGGGAAAAAAACATTTGCGCCGAGGTGGACAGGTAGATTTTGCAAAACGAGAAAAAGTGCTCGTCGTTGGTAGACGCGCTTCAAACTCGCTCCGTTACGAAAATGCATTGTCTTTGTGGGTCACTTGTACAGCTGCTTTTACAGGCTAATCGCTATTGTATTGAAGATGACATAAAAAACAACATCCTGCTTCGTGACGTAACGATGGAACGAATTATATGTCATGCCGCTAGTACACTATGCAAACACAGAGAACGATGATGACATTTTATCACACAACTGTCCTGTGTGTCGATATGCAAGCATCGCAGCCCAAAATAATTTCGAAGTACTCGGTTGGGTTCGGATTCAAAGTGAGGCTATACAAGTATACACTAGCCACAGCACTACGCGAATGGATTCTTACGTCACAACTCAGCAACTTAGCAATTTTTGTTGCCTCGCTGTAGATCTAAAGTGTCATTTCTCCACATTTACGAAACAAACATCGAGTGTAGAGATCTTTATAGACCTAAGTTTATTCATTGGCCGTTTCAAATCTTCGCCAAAGGAGTGAGCACATTAGCTCTCGGTTTCGATGCTCATTTCAAATTCATTCATTCTAAAAAGTAAAAAAAAAACCTTTCATTCTTTAGACGTAATAGATTCTCTTCGCAGTTGTTTAAATGTTAAAATTTCTTCTTTGAGAGAGACAGTCTATTACTTATTACTTATTTGTGAACGTTTTCAATTTGGGCTGTTCTTGTTTGTGTTCCTATACGTAGCCTGTTTGCTCACTTAAATCAATCTACTCGTGGCCAATAAGCTTACTGTCGAGAATGCCACTGCTCCATTGTGTGCAATATACGTAACGCCAGTTATGTATTTATTTATAGATTGTCTTGTTACGCAATGTCTGCGTGCGAGTATTGTGTCTGTATAAACCGTTGCTCTTAACATAGGCGAAGCCAGCGGGGTGGGGTGGGGGTGTGGGGTAAGGGGGTATTAACCCCCCCCCCCCCAATATTGTGCAAAGACTGCCCTTTTCTATTCAAATGCTTTTTCACCAGCGCTTACCCCCCCCCCCCCGCCCCAATATTTTGTAACGAGTGCCCTTTTTTTAACAAGTGCCCGTTTTTTTCTGAACAAGTGCCATTTTTAAAAAAATCGTGCCCTTTTTTTGTGCCATCAGCTGTTACGGGTGCCTTTTGTGAATTTCGCGCATGTATCGCCCTGAAAAACACCATGTAGTTACCGTTAGTGTGCATAATCGTCGGTTTTGAATAGCGCCCACACAGACAGATGGTACTAGCCCCCCCCCCCCCAAAAAAAGTAAGACCAAAAATCCAATTAGTGAAAAAAAAATAAAAGGAAATAGATAAACGACAACAATGCAGCGATCACAAGCTTCGAATCAAAGTTCGTTTCAGGCATAGCTCGTGGATTGGACGAGAGAGTGTACTTAACAGTTCTATTCTTTGTACACACAATTGAAAGATACTCCGATTACTTCACGGAATATAAGTTGCTCTTTAGTTTTATTTGGGTACTTTTCCCATTTTAAGTCCAGTGCGGACAGCCTAGGACGTTTTCCTCTCAGTTACTTTTCCTGAGTCCAGCGGTTACTTTTACTGGCCAACTGCTGCCCAGGAAAACTTCCCACGCGCCCAGGAAAACTGACCGAGTCGCTTTTCCCGAGACGATTAGTCCAGTGCGGACAGTGCGAGTCGGTAAAAGCGGCTCAGGAAAGCGTACATCCGGCCCAAGCGCCCTGTTATGCATACAGAGACCGCACGAACCTGCACGTGCAGTGGCCGAACATTTTGTAGAAACACGCTGCGGTGTATTATCAAGTCCGAGCGGTAAAATCTCGTTAAAATATATATTTCAACGGACAAATACATACACAGAGAAGAGAGATCACATTCTGAGAATTAATTTGCGGAAATTCTCTTTCTCCACCGATGTATTGTTATTTTCTACGATCCAAATTCGTCCTGATACGCTACTGTAGTCATGCACGGAACATCATGGTCCGGTACCGTACGTAGGCCGTAGTCACTGGTTCCTGGCCCACATCATAGCTTCGATTCTGTAAGCATGCGATGGGAACCAACGAATACTGATGCCACTGCTGCCGCACGGAACATCGTACAGCGGCATGGCTTCGACGACGTGCATCACAAATGCGTCAGAATTATAGGCCCTTTCGTCAAGATTTAGCGTGTCAAGATGAAAAAATATCGTGTAAACGATTATGTTATACATGCAAATGGCGTGTGTAATATTACTGAGCGTATCGGTGGCTGAAAATGTGATCGGCAATTTGTTTTCTGCGTACGGTGAGTCATTATACTGACACTGTGACAGCTCGGTTACTTCTCCCACGCGGTCGGGGTAAAATTTCCCGTGTCGAAAGTCCAAGTGCGGACAGTGGTCACATTTGACCATTTTTCATTTTACCATCGTCTCGGTAAAACCTTCAAAAAAAAAAAGTCCAGTGCGGACACGGCTTTAGAGTTGTTCTACAGTGAGCGCGGGCATCCTGGAGTTTTTTACTTTGCCCTTTTTTGTCCAGATTTCAGACCTTTTTACTTCAAACTCGATAGTTCTGGAGTGTTGGATGGTTACTCATCGAAATCGGTGAAAACTGTTTTGCAAATGCATAACCTAGATGCTTTCATCGGCTCACGTAATCCCACCCACACCTATTAACGGAAAGGGTGTTGTTGATGTTTGTTGGTGATTTTCAAGTCACTGAAAAGTTAAACTTTATATTTTAAAATAAACTTGTACATGTATTACTCTTTTCTTGTTTTACAGGACTGAGACGGAAGCAGCCAGTATGGCAGCGGTATCTCCACTCCCACAGACGGCGGCTCTGAATCTCTCCGTCAAGGCGAGCGAACTGCCGAGCAACCACTTACTGTTCCAGCGTCATACCGGCAAGCCGGTCCAGCGCGTTCACCCCAACGACCATCGCCTAGGAACGTCGCAGGCGATTCCCTCCGCCGTGGCCCAGACCCTTGTCCAGCAGGTCGCGGTGCAAGACCCCATGGATGTGGCCAGCGGGATCGGGATGCCGGGACTGATCGTCTCCCGCAAGCAGCGCGAATTCACACCGGAGGAGCTCAAGGACATGCGGTACTGGGACCGCCGGCGGAAGAACAACGACGCGGCCCGGCGTTCCAGACAGAAGCGCCGGCTGACTGACGTGGTGTTGGAGTCGCAGGTGATGAGACTGGCGCAGGAGAATGACAACCTGAAGGCTGAGCTCCTTGCCATGAAGGAAAGAATTGGTCAGATAGACTCAGGGAGCCAGGCTAAAAGTGCCACCATCCAGCAATCAGCTACTCAATCCCTCACAAAGATTGCTCAGGTGAAGATGCCCCTGGAGACAACAACTTTTCCCTATGATCAAAAGCCTGTAGCCTTTAAGACATCAGCTTCCCAAATCGGACCTTATCCCGTTGCTTCGATGACGGTTTCCTATCCAGTCACTTCACTACACTCCGTAGATGTCCAGCCGACTGCTTCCTACCCGCAACGACTGCCTCTGCTACCCAAGAGTGCCTGGACTCCCGCGCAGCCGCAGATTTCCAATCCAGAACTATGGAACCTTGACTCGGTTCACAACCATCTCAAGAACACGCTGCATGCTTTGACTGCGGAAAAGGACAAACTGAAACACGCGAATCCCGTCCTGTTCAAAGACCATGCTGAGGCACACCCGCTTCCAGATGGAAGCTGTAGCCTTGGGCAGAGGGTAGAGCAACCTTCCAGTAAGCTGCTGACTGATGTTCTTCCACCTTCGTCTCCACCAACCCCCAGAGACCCTTCCAAGACCAAAGAGAAGCCATCCTCCCCTCCCTCTCCGCACAGTGCCTTCGCCCCTGGCGTCGAACTCTCAAAACTGCCCCACAAACTCCGCGGGAAGATGAAGCGCACTCTGCCGCAGACCGACCAAGCTGCTGAGTGCCCGGATCTTGACACCGATGGCCTGTGGAAGCGCAAGATGCAAAGGTTGTCCCCCAGTCCTCCGGCAGAAACAGTGATCATCGCTGCCAAGGCAAATGAAGATGATTTTCGGTCTGCCCGTCTCGTTCAGGACGGCTACACCCCACCCCCGTCCAGTAGCTCATCCAGTGAGGGCAATATCTCCCCTTGCACCCCCAGCAGCCTCTTCGACTTCTCGGTGAAAGGAAGCGACTACCTGCCAAAAGTGTCGAACGATCTTGCCCTGAGCGAAGCCCACGAGAGGATGGTTCAAGCCGCGCACGCCTTGGCGGCGCTCAACAAAGGCGCGTCAGAGGGGTCTTCATCCAATGACACCTCAGCCGGCGGACGACCCCATCAAATATTCAATGAGGAAAGGGAGAGGTACTGGGACAAGCGAAGGCGAAACAACCAGGCTGCCAAGAAGTGTCGAGACGCCAAGAGGCTCTTGATCGACTACCGGGCGGCTCGCTCGACCTACCTGGAGCAGGAGAACGACCAGCTCCGCCGGGAGACGTCGATGCTGCAACACGAGGTGGCTCAGCTCAAGGCAATGGTCAAGAAGAGAGCAGAGACACAGGCAGTCGAGAGGATGTCATCCAAATAATCTGCTTATGAACTAAACAAACATATCTCTTGGACTTTTTAATCATCACTTTGCTGTGCTGCACTTACTCTTAATCTATTTAACCATATTCTGTCGGCAGCTGTACCTTTCAAATTCAAACACCAAACAGGCAGACAAATTTGCAGTTGAATGAGTATCAGTTCTCAAGAGGTTTTTTCGTATATTTGAAATTTGACAGATGCCGTACTCTTGAAGTTATTTCAAGTGTTTGTAAGGAATGTGACTCTGCGACGCGAGATTGGAAAAGTCCCAAATCAAGACGTGCTGAAAAAAATGTACAAAAAAGAGACATGCGTCCGTTGTCCGTATTGAGAACACCGTAAAATCCAGCACTTCAGATTGGGTTGGCTGTAGTTGGGTGGGATGGGTCGGGATAGGGAGGAATGGGGGTGAGGTGAAGTGGTGGCGTTTTTCAAAATGTATTGTACACTCTAAATTGTTTTGGTGCACATTTCTCACCTTAAAAAAAGGGAAGTCTGTGACTTCCAAACCGTCTGTTGTCCTTGTTACAATTGCGTAATATGAGAAAAAGACCACAGTTTATCCTTTAAAAAAAGTCATGGTGCTGTATATACAAAACATTCTGTGTAAGGCTTTATTTGTTTTGGTTTATGATTCCTGCCACTGCTAGTAGGAATGAACATTGATGGTCGATGTGCTGCAAAGATTTTGAATCAAACGAAACCTCGCTTCATTATGATATATATTGTATATTATTTGTGATATTCTTCATCAAAATGTGATGTTTATGCTTTGAGCCAAGCTGTGCCAAGAACTGCTGCGCGCCTAAATTGCTTTGGCCAATATCAATTGTTATCATCTGTGGTATGTGTCGTCAATGCCGACGCAGAAATAGGTGCTTCAAGGGAACAATGAGAACAACACTAACAATGTGTGGGATGGTTTACTAACGATGAATCATTGGCTTTGAACCACAGAATATCACATTGGCAATCGGCCAAGTTTGTGGTTCTGGCCAGGCAAAATGTTCTCCAGTGAACTCATGTTTTCAACAACACATTGCGCAATTTTAGCTGAGGGATTTTTTTTTGGTACTTCGTACGTGGCGTACGTAATCGCCCTAGCTGCCGAGTTTGATTGAGAGGATGTATATGTACTGTCAATATTTAAGGCTACTCTAAAACTAAAGTTCTTGCACATAGTATCCTTTACTTGTAAGTACAACCTCGATTTCATTCCATCATATCGAGGGTGTTAAATAACTATTATAATCAAACACGTGGTGCTGTTTTGTTATCTGTAAATTCTTTTGTAAGTGACTTCATTGAGTTAACCTATTCAGTAATTATTTTGAGGTAACATTTCGAGGGATATCGTTTCTGTTGGTGATTTGATCCGTTCCACTATTTTCAGTGATTTTTGTTTACTGTGTTAACAGTAGGGATGAATTCGACAAAGTTTATTCTCGCAAAGTGCTTTTACAAAATTAATAAAAGTTTTATAATGTTTGACATTTTATTATCACACTAAAGAGAGTTTCCGTTTTTGAAATTTTGTTAAATGGTCCCCCTCAATCAAACCGCCTATTCCCTCAAAATCCATCTCAACATCATTTAGACATCGATATTTTGAAGCCACAAAAGTAATCCTGAAACTAAGAAAAGTGTGTCTATGGTCACGATATTACGTGCAGTTTCGTACAAAAATGTTCAAAATAGACCATTGATCAGACACAATTTGCAAAATGTGGAACACCGTTTATTACACCGATTTGTTTAGGAGTGTTTTGAAAGTTCGTTCACTTAGATTAAAGAGGGCCCCAAAAGAACTTAGATCGCCCATCCAATATTGTCACGGGACCTTTTCCACGGAACTATGGTTATCGTTATATAATTTTCGAGGCAATAAATTAGTTATTACTTTGAACTCGTGGAACATTGCCCCGATCTACTTTGATAGACAAGTGTGGTTTTGTGGATATGTGCCATTTGGTATCTGAAAAACATTTTGGGGGCAAGCCGGAAATCTGACAAAACCCTGGAATTTGCCGGAAAGTTCACACTTCACACACAAATTCGATATAGCACTATGGTAGGAACGCATCTGCATGCCTTTTGTCTATAAATGCAGTGGGGTATCTTGGGTCCAATGCACTGGGAGGGGTGGGGTCTTGATTTCTTAAAGGGGGCTCATTTGATGTGGTACCTTCAATGCTTCAAACAATTCAAATCTCATTTCAAAGAGGCGTGTGCAGATGAGGCACAGGTCTGTAGGGAGAGTGGGGCGTGCCCCCCCCCCCCCCCTTCACTTGACCCATGATGTAGTCAAGGGAAGGACAATTAAATTGTCGAGAAATTTTGGGCGCGATCAAATTAAACTAAAGTTTATTTCTCGACAACCCCAAATCACTAGTAACCCTTTAAGGTTCATTACACTTGGTGTCAACACACTCGACCATAAACAGATCTGGAGGCGGAGTCTGACACTCTCCTAGAACTCCTTGATCGGGTAAAGACTCGGGCACAGTCCGGGTAGAGAACCCGACAACAAATCATGGTTCGTGAGACAATGCAAAAAAGTGATAACCTTTCGCCTTTCTCGCCATCGTAATCAACCGTCGCCGTGCAGCGTCGGTCTTTGGTCACAATGTGACACATTCTTAATCTTATCCGAAGAGACATATCGCTGTTCAAATGTTGTCCACCATTTTTGTCAACATTTCGCGACTAGTTCTAGCTTTTGAGTTTCCTAAAGAGTATTGGGTTATCAAGGAACAATTTAAATGCCAAAACCTTATCGCTCGAATGTCTGTTTGGTATCAGTCCAAAATACCAATAAAAAATTTGAAAAGAAGCACCATTGTTTACTTTCTATGATTAACACAAACGGTATATTTTGATTAACTTGTAATAAATTTTAAAAAAAAATGGAAATTCTCCAAGTTGACGTTAGGCCTGATGTAAGGCGTATATAGGCCAACCAACCTTACCATTCAAACTTGAAGAATTATTACATATATATGAGGAGACAGTACATTGGACAACAATAAGATTAAATATATGAATCCAAAAAATTATATTTCATTGTTCATGCGAGTTTGCACATTGCGCGTCGAGTGAAATGTCAAATTCGCTTATAGGACAGACTATGACCTATCGCCGTTTGCGAGTTAGCTACGCCCCTTAGACAACCCCTGTCTAGATTTTTAATTATTTTTTTATTTTTAATTTGTAATTATTCATTAAAAGTGCATTTTTTTTTCTTGTGTGGAGCTAGCTGGAGAAGACGGTATGGAGAAGAACGATACGGTCATGCAGTCAGTGCGCCCTCAAGAACACATGCCAAAAAAATCACTTGGTGGCGCTATAATAACAAGCAGTCGGGTGCCTTAACGAGTTCACAAAAACGATGAAAAATGGTAGGGGTACCAGATCGCTATGACGTAATGCGATCGGCACTGGTAAAGTGAATGGAATACGGAGAAGAAAAATGTCATGAGTTTTATTTGAAAAGACGAAGTTTCACACCTAGTTCACTCAAAAATGGAGGAAAAGGGAAGAGTCAACGCATTCGCGAATGACGGGAGTTTCATGGAGATGTTCAAGAGGAAAATGGAGCAAGAAAAACTCCGCTGTGGTTCAGCAGAAGAAGGGAGTCGCAATCGGCCGTCGGCGACCGGCGAAGAAAGGGATGGGAAATCGAGGACCTTAAAATCCTCGGCCGAAAATGCCAGAACAAACGATCCGGCCGGACGTGAGACTGGACAGACAGAAACTTCTACTGTAACAGAGTCAAGAGATGATGTTGTACACAGACTGTCTGCACAGAGTGTGGAAAATGAAGGCGCAAAAGAATCGAATGAGGAACAGGCCGTGACTGTCCCTGATGAACAGTCGACAAGAGAGGGCGACAAACCTGCTGTTGCCTCTGCCCCTGCTCAGAAAAAATATAGCCTGTTATCACATGTAAGTGTCTTAATTCAATAAGGTGTATGTGCCATCTTGCTTACGGGGCAATCGTCAAACATGTCAAAGGAAAACTTTTGCGCTTCAAAGTCATCATGCGTTCATTCCAAAATGATGTGCGTCATGTGCCTGCGTCTAGCAAGTCGTGTTCTTCTAGCCCCGTGAAAAAGATGGCGCATATTACCATGGAACTGCTATTGGGATCTAACTGGGTTGGCCTGGTACTAAGCGTCTGGTGTATGCCACATAACTGTCAAATTCATCTCTGTTGTCTTTGCATGCATTAATGCATATTGGGGTATTCCATGTTAATGTTTCAAATGCTTCAAATTAAAATACAAACGCAGTAAAAAGTAAAGAAAGAAATTGCAACTGTTGTCATTTAAAGATCTTTCATCAATACAGCCCTGCCAGTGCCATCTAATAAATAGGGACATTTGTTGGAAAGAATGTATCCAGATGCCACTTTGTTGGTTGAGTACAAAATCTGTGGAGAGTCAAATGCAATGTTTACGTTTTTTCTAACAAAAATGGAAATGTTGTCAGTGCCAGATTCATGTCTTTCCAACATTTTTTTGCAAATTCGAGATAATATATGATGAAACAAAGTTGTTTCAGGATGCAATGGGCACCATTCTTTACCATTTGTTCGGTGCCAAAATTTGGGCCCAATATTTGATTGCCATTATGGTGTTGACATAGCCACAAATTTGGAAAAGAAGGCTGCAAATCTTGTTACAAAGATCAGAGTTCAAATTCATTAGTAAATTTATTTACCTTTTTTCCCGTCAGGTTGGCAAACGGAGAGATGGAAAAGTGTCGCTCAAGACAGGAGCGGTCAAGAAGCAGAGGAATACTGAAGCTCAGGTAAAGCGTGGGGTTATACTTGGCAATTGTCTGTCCTACTAACCATACATCCCTCTTCTATTTCTACAAACGTTTCTGAAAACTCCACAATTTTTCACTGTGATGGGATATTCTTTGCACTTTAAGTGAGCATTTCAGCCTGAGCTCGGAAAGATTCCCAGGTCTGGCCATCACTTGTCACCCTGTGCACAAACCCTATGGGACCGGTGTGACAATTTCTAAGTGTTTTTCTCAGTAAATGCTTCAATATTTTCCCTGCAAATTTTTTTAGGACATAATTATTATCACTTTCTGATGGCTGATAGGTCACTGAAGGGAAATATTAGTGATGGCCAGGTATGGGAATCTTTCCGTGAGCTCACTTAGCTGGTTTTTTTTAAATTCTAATCCTACAAAATCTTGCAAAATGCTCCATACACCTGGTGTACATGTTACTTTCTGGCGAGGTTTTTTCCCTGGAAACATGCTGACTCCAATATACATGTACTGGCATGCAATTTTTCCTCGGATCTGCTGATTTTCTTGTCTTCGAACTTCTCATGAATGCCATTACAAATTGAAAAACATCGTTCAAAGCCTTGTGGGGTTTGAAATTTCCTCGTTTTTCCTAAATTCCCAGAGGCCTAGAAATCATTACCAAACCTCCAGGACACCTCAAAAGATTAAGAAGAAATAAGGCTTTTAATCCCAAAGGGGGGGGGGGGGGGGGGGGGGGGCTTTTGCGCGATACCAAAAACACGGGTTGCCGCGCTAAGCGCCATGAAAACTGAATTTCCCCATATACATGTGTGTAGTGTACACAGAGCAGAATTACTATTCGTGCATACTAATAATTAATTAGCCATAATTCCAAAACCCTTTGATCTATATTCATGAAATTTCTTGGGTATGCTCATGATAGGTTGTTCTATGTGTGTACCGAGTTTCATAATTTTCCGTCACTCGATGGCCGAGATCTTAGGCCCCCCCCCCCCACCTCGACTGAAAGATGGTTGAAATAACCCGGCCCTTTTAGGGTTAAAAGTAAGTACCACTACCAATGTGTGTTTAATCTTTATGTTTGATTCGAAATTGCAGGAAAGCAAAGATCAAGATGCATGGTCCAAGTACATGGCAGAGGTCCAGAAATACAAGGCTCACGTCTGCGGGGATGAGGATAAGTCTCGACCGTTGGTCAAATGACGTCTTCAAACATAACTGCCTCAAAATCAATTGAGTTTTTTATTTTTTATTTGTGATACGTAATGTTACAAGAGATCCCCAGAGAAGGCCCTTGAGTGCTCTGAAACGTGGAAAACTAAATCAGGCCAACTTAACTCACTCTTTAACCAGCAAATTTTGCCCAAAATTCCATAGGGCAAAGAAAAGGTCCTCAGTATTTCACCAACCAAGTTTGCAGACTCAATTCAATTTTTAAATGAGACATTTCTTCTATATTTGGCACATGAGAGGGAAGTCAAGTGATTTCAAAATGAGGCAAAAGACTAGACCGGTACATGTCCAACCATGGTCCAGTTATTTGAAAAGACTGACCTCTTCATTCAGTGTCATTAGTCTGGTGGCGGACTATGGAGAAATGTGTAGTACATTGAGACTAGTTCCAGGTTCATGTCACATGGTTCTTTTGGCACTTAAGCGGTGTTGGACTGGTTGTTTCCGATGCCAGTCTATTTTCTTGTATTGCATGTTTTCAAAACCTTAAGTTTTGTGACTCTCATGTATACACAGTCTTGAGAGTCCCAAATTTTCGGACTAGGAGAAGCCTACCCCTCAGACTACAAATGCAACAAAATTTAACACTGGTTCAAAGCTGTCGTGGATGCTTTATCAGTCAATGGATCTTATTCACTAGGGACCACGATCGTGGTCCCTGAATCTGTTGAATGAGATGGTGCCAGACTATTTTATGATTGGCTTGCATTCCAAGCGTCACTTTCATTTTTGTTTAAATGTGACTGAAAACATTAAGTTTGTTTAATTACAAGTTTTAAATTAATCATCAGAGCAGACTGGTATTACTGTCTAATAAACTTCTATTTTATTGCTTTCATTTCTTCTCGCGAATTCCAAAAAATGAGGACTTTGCCTCGCTTTAAATTAAACATTCATGAATAAAGACTACATAAGTGTCAAGGTACATTGCTGAATAAGTACCAGTGCTGATGCTCATCCTTTGCGAGGCACAACGCAACAAAACCTACTGTTGCATTTTGGTTGTATTTTGTTGCATTCATAAAGTTGGTGGGGTCAGGATTGAGATTTACACATTAATGGAAGGGGTTCAACAAACAGAAAAGCTCCTGTCTGATAATTTCTTTCTGGATGTGTGTAGTCGTAACTATTTAGGATGGATGACAATACATGTATGTGTCAGTGGACGAAGTTGAAACGTAGCCTTTTGAATGGCAAGTGTACTACAGTGCTTGGCAGCACATTTTATTTTTGGGTTCCCAAAAGTAAACAAATACTTTAAGGCTCAAAGTCGATTGGGGGTAATAAGAGGATGAAATTGCTACCTCCATATTTTTCCTATCATGTGAATTTTCTTTTGTAAAATTCATTAATTTTTCTCCCGGAAATGCAGGATTATTGCATTTTATGTTTGCATGTGTAATGTACAAAGTAATATTACTGTTATTATTCAGGTTTGGTTCAGGTTAGTTTTTAATTTGTTTTATATTGTCTAATAATATGCTTTGCCTACATGTAGGTGGAATACTGAAGAGTTTCAGCCACTCAAATTTTGTGCCACATCACAAAACACTAAAAACTAAAGCAAACTGCACACATTTTGTTCTCCAACAACATCCTCAATATATTTTTGTTGAATAAGTGTACATTTTTCCTATTCTTTGTTGTATGAAAATGTTTCATACTTTTGTGGCACAACAGCATTTGTATCTCTAATTTTCGTTCCATCGTGTTTAGTCTTGGGAAATAAAATTTAGTCGGCCAGATTGGAGAATGGTGGTGTCCAGTGTGCATTATTGAATGAAGTACTGTCGACATGGTATCATCATTTGCAGGGGTGTGAAATCTCAGCTTAAAAGCTGATTTCAGCTTTTATTGTTTTGGATTGCAGCTTTTTTCCCCTCACTTGCTGTGTACAAAGGTATAGCAGATTTCCAAAGTTCAGCTTTTTACACCTTTTTCAGCTGTTTTCAGCTATTTTTATCAGTGGTCACTCACACCCCTGCATTTGATTGTATACGTCTGCGCGGCAGTTTAATAAGCCTCTGCACTAATGACGTCACACTTTGTTTACATATGCCCTTTCCTATGGAGGCAGTGGGGGTCCACGGTCCACTGGGCACCATATGAAAGCACAGACGTAAACAAAGTGTGACGTCATTAGTACAGAGAGGCTTATTCGGCCATCCAGAACTACCCTCACAAAATGAATTCCTGCAACATACAGTTTTTGCCGGGGAAGAACGTTGATTAGGCCACAAAACTAAATTACATGTATTTTCTATCACCTTACACAACCTAGGAAATCATGCAGAACCTAAACCCTTTTATAACCAAATTTGAAAGCAACAAGCAAAAACATAATGTTGCCGCCCCAACCTAGTTTTGCGGACATTAACCTGTATTTTTGTGTGTTAAAGTTGGTACATACGTGCTTTTTCAAAATTTTGATTTTCTTTTCCGAGCGAAATTAAACGGAATATGATTCCCTGTAAGAAATAAATTTGCTTGTTTGTTTTTGCAGGCCTTTATACAGTTTTAAAAATTTGTTTGAAGTGGCGCGCTCCAGTTCAGAAATTGCGCACACTATTCAGATCGAATCAAGAGTGTCCCGCTCTTAATTCAAAATTTGAAATCAATATAATTATTTCTTGTCGTTGGCCGATTTTTTTCGTGCAATGTCTCATTGGAAAGCTCATGACTAATGTTATGCTAGAAAATTATCAATTCAATTTGAAAATCTATTTTGCAAGGTGCGACACCCAAAAAGCACGCATGCATCAACTTGAAAAATTATTCAATTTTGGGTCGAGTTTTTATACTTCAAATTTCAAAACATAATTGTACAATTCACATGGTCCATAATTTTGATGAGGCTAGAATTTTAAAGAATTCATGCAGCTAAAGTGATTTAGCTCGTTTATGGGCAATCCTCAGTCTCGTTTAATCAATAAAAGAGAATTTCTTGCGATTTGTCCATCGAAACTGCACGCAAGAGCTGACTGATAAACGTAAGTAGCGCCCTCTATACGAAATATATAGAGGGCGCTCTTCGAAATATTTTGTTTGGAAGAGAGGGCGCTCTTTTAATGCCGCGAGATTATGAGGAGAATTACATAATGCAACCGGCTTGTGATCTTGGGCTGGAGTATTTTATTTTTCAAGCCGCAAAAATAATGAAGAAACCACAAACATGAATAATGTCAATTTCAAAAGCGAAGAGGAGGTGAAGGGGTATCTGGAGAACCTGGAAACAGAGTATAGTTACCAGTGCTATCGCGAGAAATCCGGTGAAGGTAGGCAGAAGTGAACTGGGGTTAACACTCGTCACTGCTCGTCTCGTGTTAACATGGTTAATAATTTAATAACTCCATCATGCAGTGTGAGAATAGCCAGACAGGGCTCTGAAGTGCTCTGAAACATGCAAAACTAAATCAGGCCCACTTTACTCACAGTTTAGCCAGTAAATTTCTCCAAACATTCCACTAGGGCAAAGAACATGTCCTCAGTATTCCACCTACCAAGTTTGCAGACGTGACTCAATTCAATTTTTAAAGGGGATTTTTCTTCAATATTTTGCACATGAGAGGGAAGTCAAGTGATTTCAAAATGGGGCTAAATACTAGACTGGTACATGTCCATCCATGGTCCAACTATTTGAAAAGACTGACCTCTTAATTCAGTGTCATTAGTCTGGTGGCTTGACTATGGAGAAATGTGTAGTAAATTGAGACTAGTTCCCGCTTCATGCCACATGCTTCTTAAATTTTGTTGGTGTGGTTGATTGATGCAGTACTGAAGCTGTGTTGGACTGGTTGTTTTAGGTGCCAGTCTATATTCTTGTTTTGCATGTTTTCAGTACCTTAAGTTTTGGGACTCTCATACACAGTATTAAGAGTCCCAAATTTTCGGACTAGAGAATAGCTAGCTTGAAAAAAATTGGAAGTGTGAATCGAAAGTGCCTGGCCTACCTGTTTTGAACCAGGAAAAATCGATATTTTATGACGTCCCTGTGGTAGCAATTTGGAAATATTCTGTCTTTTCTTACCAAATTGGAAGTGTTGCCATATTCTTTCCAACACTGTTGGAAAGAATATTGCAACCAGATGCCACTTCAGCGGTTAATTGTGTACAAAGTCTGTGGAGAGTCATGAAAAGTTTCTAAGTAGTAACTTCCTAACAAAATTGGAAATGTTTCTCAGTCCCAGATGTTTTATTGAAATGACTGACCTTCATTGAGATGATATATGGCTCTCTGTTATGAAGAAAAAAAGTGGCTGAGTGGACAGTGCGTGTATCTCATGATTGAGAGATCACTGGTTAAACTACTGGCTAGTGACATTTTCATTTTTTTTTTTCATCCCAAAAAATTTATTAATTTTTTTTTTTTTAAATTGACTCCATCACTCAATTTCAGTGTTTTACATTTTCTTTTTTATGATTCGTGGCCCTGGAGGATTTTTTTAAACAAAAAAAAATCCCAGAAATTATAAAATGGTCTGATTCCCATCTCGTGGATATGAAGTCACAACGACAATGTTGCCGCCGAACCAAACTAAGATGTGTCACAGTAAAAATTTCTAGTCCCCAAAAAACAGTCACTGCGGGCATGTTCAGTGCCTATTCGGTAAAATATCGTTTACTAAATGAAAGCCAGATCCGGCTAAATATCCACTACCTTTAATTTATTATTTGCTTGAACTTTTGATAAAATCATATCTCTCCAGGTTGCTACAGGCTTGGTGAGTTCTTCGCTGGCATTAAGGGCGACTTAGGCAAGGCAGCCTCAGCCTATCAGGCAAGCTGTGACAAGTACGATCACTTTGTGTCCTGCAACAAGCTGGGAGCGTTGCATTTGTACGGCAAAGGTACGATATAAAATTGAAAATGTGACTTCTTGAAAGGAGTTTATATCATTTTTCTGTTAATTTATATTTCAATTCCCATATGAAGAAGCACACTCCGCTTTTAAGTCACTGCCAACAGATCAACATTCAGATTTCAGAAGTACATGAACCCCAACCCCTTACAGGTTTTCTCTAGGCACCCTGCCAAATGCAACAGAATACAACCTGGCTGAAATGAGAACCCTGCTAAATGCAACAAATTGCAACAGTGGATTCTGTTGCATTGTGCAGTGAACCCAGGGCATACCGGCCTTGGCACCAAGCAGTTACCCTGCTAAATGCAACCAAATGCAACAGTGGATTCTGTTGCATTGTGCAGTGAAAACAGGGCATACCAGCCTTGGCACCAAGCAGTTACCCTGCTAAATGCAACCAAATGCAACAGTGGATTCTGTTGTATTGCCTTGGCACTATGATCAGTTACCCTGCTAAATGCAACCAAATGCAACAGTGGATTCTGTTGTATTGCCTTGGCGCCGAGCAGTTACCCTGCTAAATGCAACAAATTGCAACAGTGGATTCTGTTGCATTGCCGTGGCACTATGATCAGTTACCCTGCTAAATGCAACCAAATGCAACAGTGGATTCTGTTGCATTGCCTTGGCACTATGATCAGTTACCCTGCTAAATGCAACCAAATGAGGATTCTGTTGTTTGGCCTTGTCACTATGAGCAGTTACCCTGCTAAATGCAACCAAATGCAACAGTAGATTATGTTGCATTGCCTTGGCACTATGATCAGTTACCCTGCTAAATGCAACAAACTGCAACAGTGGATTATGTTGTACCAGCCTTGGTACTATGAGCAGCTACCCTGCTAAATGCAACAAGATGCAACAAAGCACAGGGATTTGAGTTGCATGCTAAATGCAACAGTATGCAACAATTTTTTACCAGTGCTGCTTTCCGTTGCATTTAGCAGGGTTAGAGTTTAGTTTACATGTGAACAAATTGATAGTTTCTTTTGAATGAAAAATTGTGAAAGCCTAGGGGACAATGCCCCCTTGCCCCTTCTGTTGCCAATGGACATAGTGATTGAAAATTGCTAACAAGAGCCAATTCATAAGGCCTCCAGCTCTAGAGAGTAATAATAATAATAATAATAATAACAACAATCTACATTTAAGAACGCTTTTATTAGTAAACTAAATCTTAGTGCTTACAGTATTATTATTACCCCTGATCATTGGGCCAATTAAACATTCCAAATACCATCTCAGCTCCCTGGGGAGTATACAGCTCGATGCTGCCTGTTAGGCGCAAGGAAGCTAATTCAATCACAATAACCATCTCTGCCCTGACAGTTACCCATTTACTCCTGGGTGGGGAGAAGCAATGAGTGACAAAGTGCCTTGCCCAAGGGCATACGCACCATAACCCCAGGCTGGACTCGAACCCACAACCTGCAGAATTACCTGCAGGCCACGAATTCAATTCCCTTAACCACTATGGCACTCCAGTACGTGGTATTCTTAGGAATTGGTTCATAGTACAGTCAAGATTGATGATATTACGTTTCCTCTGTTCCAAGGTCTTGACAAGGACAGGAAAAAGGCAGTGGACTACTTTGTCAAGAGCTGCGAGGGTGGGTACATGACAGGGTGCTACGGAGCTGGTGTGGCCCTGAGCGGAGGGGAGACCAAAGACCCGCCCCGGGCGGCCGCCTACCTGCAGCGGGCCTGCGACAGCGACCACCAGGAGAGCTGTTTCCAGCTGGGCAGCATCTACCTGCAGGGGCTGGAAGCGGTAGAGAAGGACATGGCCAAGGCTTTCCGCTACACGCTCAGAAGCTGCCAGCTAGGCCACATGTACGGCTGCGCCAACGTCAGCCGCATGTACAAGATGGGAGACGGGACGGAGAAGGATCAGAAACTTGCCGACGAGTTCAGAGCAAAGGCCAGAGAGCTGCACAGACAGGCCAAGGAGAAGGCCGCCCAGCTGACATTTGGAGAAACGGGCGGCAAATGACGATGCAGTGAGTTTTGAGTCCACGCCGGTTGTTGTTGAAAAAGAACCAGCACGGCTGTCGTTTTGCAGAAACGGGTAAAAACTTGTACGTTCGTGTAGTTGATGTAGGAGTCGGGAGCAGTAGTGTCTCAAGAAATGGGCCAAGATTATAATGGATTGACTTGGTCTAGTCAGTATTGCCTGATGTAGATGAATTCATCCTTGTGCTTTCTATAAAACCTTAAAATGTGGACAATTTGTGTTACCTCTGCCGTAACCCGTAACCTTTGTTTTGTAACTGATAATGATTTTTAGTTCGTTAAAAACTGTAGTTCAGTTCATCCACTTCTTCCCACTTTTAGACCTATTACCAAGTACATGCACATTGACGGACTGTGCACTGTTATCAAAGCAGTACTGAAAGGGAAAATAGTGGGCCCAATAATACAGGTGAAAGTCAAGGTGCGAAAATAGAATATGGATAGGGAAGGCGGGAGGGTGGACCGTACAACAGAAACATGTGCCGTTTCGTAGGACTAGTTCAAGTATTATACAAATATAACATGGTTTGAGGGTGGACAGTCGATATTCGCTCCCCGAGGTATTGGAAATTGACTAACTATTCGCCTCGGGAACTAGTTTGTTAACTTCCAATACCGAGGGGAGCCAATATCCACTGTCCAACCAAACTAAACCATGTTATATTTGTTTTACTATACTCATACATATTCAGTTGCCGATTTTTTTTTTTATATAAAGCACCTAAAAAACAAATTCGGAAAAACTTGTACAGCTCACCAAAATAATATTGTTGCTCAACTTCACTAGTTCGGTTCGTTTGCAATACAGTAACTACAGTTGTAAATACAGTTGTTTGTGTACAACTTTCTTACATAGGAGGCATCTTTATTGTCCATAAATTTTCTCCAGCACGACATCATTGAGCTCGAAAAATTAACATTTTAAGGTAACCGTGCAAAAATGCTTCTCTCTTGGGCGATGTTCACGCGTGCGTACCACACCGGTAAGACAGTTCCTCGATTGCTTTGTAAAGAGCAGGCGTAGTAGACTGTCGCACGGGTAACCCGTGCGACAGTCTACTACGCATGCGTATTTAGCCTGTGCGTGAATCCTCGCGCGTGCGTTTTGTAAACAGCAATAATAACATCTGACACGTGATGGTGAATTGACCAGTGAGAGTTCGGCGCTAGATCATGAATATGTATGAGGTATAGTAACACCCGTTGTTCAACAAGGCCTGTCTCTATGACCAATGCCTGATGTTAGTGAACAATGCAAATTAAATTTATGTGACCCCACATACTAGCCAATCGCAGTCGACTTTAGAAATTGTGACATCATTTCGATCAGAAATTTGGCTGCCCCGTTTGTGTAACACAACGGATTAAGGAAGACCCGATAGAAGGTGCTCGCTGAATGGTCAGAATCTTAAGGTCAAGATGCAGTCTTGTTTTGCATAATTAATCCTGGAATCTGCTCACATATCATAGACCCTTGCTGTGCAAGGGGATTTTCCATAGCCTAGCCTATAGGACTTGATACAATAAGCCTCTGTACTGATGACGTCACACTTTGTTTACGTTTGTGCTTTCCTATGGTGCTCAGTGGACCGTGGGCCCCCACTGGCTCCATAGGAAAGTGCACATGTAAACAAAGTGTGACGTCATCAGTACAGAGGCTTATTAAATGTCCCTTTTTCTAATCCACCTGTTTAACGGTAATTTTTAAAAGGAGCTATACATTATGTACATGTCTCATGTAAAAAAAAGTCAGTAATAGCTCGTACATAACGTGTTCAATGAACTTGCAGTGGATCTATGCTATGCAGTGGATGTTTAACGCCTTGCGTGTCTTGCCAGCTTAATACAAATTTCATAAAGAAATAAAGCAAGGTAATCATATGTTGGTTATTTTATCATGTGTTGGTTAATAAACCAATGTTTTTGCATTCAGACTTTGTACTTTGCTTGCATTGCAAAGTGTCTAAAAAAAAAGCAGGTAATTCCAAAATGAGTTATTTATGTTGTTAAAGCTTGGAAAGGGCGGGGTGTTTTTAACACCTTTTGTAAAAATACCCAATTTTGAATGCATAGAAAAGCAAAAATAACTTTGGAGTGATCATTTACTTGATCATGAACCATTGACGTGACATTTCAACATCATTGTTGCATGACTGACGCATTCTGAAACATACCCCTCAATGTATGTATGTTTGGTTACATGTCAACTGAATGCTATACTAGGATGGCCATGTACAATGCGAGTAGATCCTTGTTTTCCTTTTCATTTGATATTATGAACTTTTATATTCAATACAAAATTGGTGGAAAATGTATTTCTCTCTTCCAAACCACCCCTTCACAAAAATGTTTGAACCCAAAGCTGTAGCACTGGCTCTTTGGAACAATACGCGCAATGCTGAACGCGCACAAGCATGCATTTGTGCACAAATACGGCGTTGTGGAACAAGAGTGATCCTAACTGTTCAATAGTATTTCCCATTCCCATGGGCGAATGGGACTCTTTGAGCCCCGGCGTGAATGGGAGCAATAACGAATGTCACATGATGCGAGTTCCACCAATGAAATGACAAGGATCTATATGTCGGTTGTATAACAGTTGATAAGACAGTGTGCTTTTCTGTATCAGTGTACACAAATATTATATGCAGTTTTTTATACACATTTTCTTCTTGCAGCGTTTGGTATTGCAGTGTGCAATGTGTATCAAAATCATACCCATACCTTTCTACTTTGTGCAAATGCAGTGAATATATGTAAACCTTGTGTAACAGTATGCAGCTTAGTACAATCTACGTACAGTTTCACATTATGTATATGTACATGTATACATTTTTTATATCTGAAAGTGTGTGTTAAATGCTGTACAAGTACTTTTTTCACAATCTGTCTTTAACATTACTCTTTGGATGCCTTAACTAGTTTACTCCAAAGTTTGGATCTGGAGACTGCTTTAATGCTTATTTTGGGGCACTTTTAAATAAATTTCTCAAATCTAGCCAAAATTGAAAAGTGTGTACATGTAGTAACCAAATTAACAAGTTTCTTTTAAAATATGTCTGGGTTTATCTGTACTATGTGAAACCTATCAAATACTGCTAGGAGCTGGATTTTAGTAGTTTTTGTATACATGTACATGTAGACCTTCCAACTATAAAGCATTGAAGATGTTAAATACAGGGTGGTTCAAAATAGAGGAAATTATCCATTTTTGACAGCAATTTCACCTCCAGTACATGTACTTACTTAACTTATTTCAATCGTTTCTTCACATCGTAGTGAAGCACATAGCCCTTTTACCATGCATGTTGAAAAAAAATCTTAGTAAAAGTTGCAAGATTAGTGATTAATGCAAATTTGAATACAAATTGCCAAAATCAGTCTTGTCCATTGTTTTGACCTGGTAACTCTTACGCTGTAAGCTTAAGTTCATTTGTGCATAACATTATATAACAAATGTCACATATTTTAGCTCTGTGGACAAACAGGTTTCGCACATGAAATTTTCAAACTATGCACGTTAGTAGCTCAGAGAAAAATATATCGATCAAATTGCAACGATTGTCACTTACTTGCCAGTACTTAATAGCTACTACTCAAAAGTAAAAAAATAATTGTGAAATTGTTGTCAAAAATGGACTTCCTTTATTCGAACCACCCTGTATACTTCCATGTCCTTACTTCCTCTTTCTTTGAAAAACAGAGTCGGTACATGTATTTGTAGCCAGATGACATATAATACCAAATATTTTTTAACAGTTTATATTACATTATGGTACATTGTACACGTGGCAGAGTGTACTATATATGACGGTGGGAATATTAAACGAAGTGGTTTTGAGTGGTCGGGCCGACCACTGTTAAGAATTGTTCTGATAAATCTTCTTTCTTTCGTTCTGTTTTTGGAGGAAATAGCCTTTGAAAACGAAATATTGCGTCAATATTATGGGATAAAATCAATCAAAATTATTAATATTTTCTTTGAAAAATGATTCTTTTTGCCCAAATCTTCAAAGTTATAGCTGTTTCAATATTGAATTACACTCCCCTTCCATCAAGAGTCATTTCTGCAAAGTTTGAAGAAAAATCTTTTTTTGGCCAAATTTGATCAAAAATTAAGGCGTTACCCTTACATTTTTTTTCAATTTTGGCCAAAAAATGAAATTGCTCCAAACGTTCTGGAAAGATGTCTCAGACCCCATAGATTGCACTCCAACTCGATTTGTGGAGCAAATAGCCTTTGAAAACGAAATATTACGTCAATATTATGGGTTAAATCAGTCCAAATTATTAATATTTTCTTTGAAAAATGATTCTTTTTGCCCAATCTTCAAAGTTTTATAGCTCTTTCAATATTGAATGACACTCCCCTTCCATCAAGAGTCATTCCTGCGAAGTTTGAAAAAAAATCATTTTTTGGCCAAATGATCAAAAAGTAAGGCTAACCCCTTACATTTTTTTTCAAAAAATGAAATTTGATCAAAAAGTAAGGCTAACCCCTTACATTTTTTTTCAATTTTGGCCAAAAAATGAAATTGCTCCAAACTTTGTAGAAAGATGTCTCAGACCCCATAGAATGCATTCCAACTCGATTTGTGGAGGAAATAGCCTTTGAAAACGAAATATTACGTCCTTATTATGGGTTAAAATCAGTCAAAATTATTAAAATTTTCTTTGAAAAATGATTCTTTTTGCCCAATCTTTAAAGTTATATAGCTCTTTCAATATTGAATGACACTCCCCTTCCATCAAGAGTCATTTCTGCGAAGTTTGAAGAAAAATCATTCTTTGGCCAAATTTGATCAAAAAGTAAGGCTAACCCCTTACATTTTTTTTCAATTTTGGCCAAAAAATGCAATTGCTCCAAACGTTGTAGAAAGCTGTCTCAGACCCCATAGAATGCATTCCAACTCGATTTGTGGAGGAAATAGCCTTTGAAAACAAAATATTACGTCCATATTATGGGTTAAAATCAGTCAAAATTATTAATATTTTCTTTGAAAAATGATTCTTTTTGCCCAATCTTCAAAGTTATATAGCTCTTTCAATATTGAATGACACTCCCCATCCATCAAGAGTCATTTCTGCGAAGTTTGAAGAAAAATCATTTTTTGGCCAAATTTGATCAAAAAGTAAGGCTAACCCCTTACATTTTTTTTCAATTTTGGCCAAAAAATGAAATTGCTCCAAACGTTGTAGAAAGATGTCTCAGACCCCATAGAATGCATTCCAACTCGATTTGTGGAGGAAATAGCCTTTGAAAACGAAATATTACGTCCTTATTATGGGTTAAAATCAGTCAAAATTATCAATATTTTCTTTGAAAAATGATTCTTTTTGCCCAATCTTCAAAGTTATATAGCTCTTTCAATATTGAATGACACTCCCCTTCCATCAAGAGTCATTTCTGCGAAGTTTGAAGAAAAATCATTTTTTGGCCAAATTTGATCAAAAATAAGGCTAACCCCTTACATTTTTTTTCAATTTT